GAGCATGAGAGTTTTTTTATATATCAATTAATGTTTCTTTCCAAAAGCCTCATTCATTAATTTCCGACAAAAGAAAAACTGCTCTCTGAGTTATCCTTCTTAATGACTATGACCTTTTAGTTAACACTGCACATGGATAAAATGCCTTATCATGATTAATGAATTTTTCCATGTAACAATTCCTTTAAGATGAATAAATAATATTATCCATTATCATTAACAGCCCTTACCATCAGAAACAAACAGTGCAAATACATATCAAAACTATTCCAAAAGTTATTAAGGTACATTCCATTATTGCTTTTTTAAAAATCAATTCTCATTTCTATTGAATAGGTTGATTGCTTAAAAATACTCATTAAGAACTTATTATGCACCACACATTATTCTGATTTAACTCGTCTAGACATCAGCATTTTTTAAAAACCTCTCCAGGTGATTTTAATGTGTAGCTCAGGTTGAAAAATCATTGCTCAGAAGGCCAGCATCTGGAAGGAGTCAAGGAGGCTTTTTACAGGGTAGGTGACATTTGAGATAGACCCAACGAAGAAGTCAGAATCAGGGGTTGCAGAATGGAGGGAATAATATGAGAAGAAACAAGGAAGATTGACACAACACAGATAGGATTAGACCACCTGCTTGTGGGGAGGTAAGAAAGGAAGTGACCAGAAGAAAGAAGAAGATTTGATCAGGACCACACTGAAAAGAGCCTTCAGAGCCATGCTGAGACGTTGAATTTTATTCAACTACTCATGGAGAACCACTATATCTTAGCATATTAAAAAGTAAATATATAACTGTTGTCAAAACCTTAAGGGGGTTTCAGTCTAGGTCCAGTTACTCGTTGCACAAAGATCCAATTATTGAGACAATGAGTATTGCCAAGGAAGAAAGAAATGTTTAATACAACAGATATCTTGTTGAAAGAATGGGAGAAGCTGCCCCAAATCCATCTCTCCAAATAAGGGATATCATGGCCTTTTACAGGAGGGGGCCAACATACCTTGGGACAGGTCTTGGTGTATCTCACAAGGGGCATTGGGGACAGGTTGTGGGGGATGGTGAATCTTGGCCTCAGGAAGTCAGCCCTGAGTCCTTCAGAATCTCAACTCCTTTGTCTTGTAGAAAATCTATCATTTCTTGCTGGGTGTGGTGGCTAATGCCTATAATCCCAGCACTTTGGGAGGCTGAGGCAAGAGAGTCACTTGAGGCCAGGAGTCCATCATTTCTGGGAAACAATTCAAAGGGTCAACTAGTTTGTTAAGGGAGAGGATTATAAAAATCACATAGGGGTTCTTGGAACCAGTGACAATATGAGCTGACCTGTGTTTAAGAGGGAAAAAAACTGCATTGGGTAGGATGCATTAGCATGTGGGACCTTTGAAACTGGCAGGGTTTGCATCAGTCAAGTGAGAGATGATGATAGATTATGACTGCCCCAAACTGATTTGCTCTTCTGTGCCTTGGATCACCAAATAACTTCTCATACACATTTTTCAGTGTTATCAGCAGCTGCTACAAATATCAGGCTAGTTCTATGCCCAGAAGATACAAATAAAATCCTTGATTCACAAAAATTTCAACAACTAACTTGTTGATACTAATGAGTCAGAAAAGAATTAAAATACAACAAAGGTAGCAGTTAGTATTAAGTGTTCGTTTTTAAAATAATTCAGTATCTCCTCAATAGATTTGAACCAATGAACTAATCAGTAGTTTTACTTTGTTATTAGCCCTATATCAGGCATTATGAAGATATAGTGGGAACATATTATAACAATGTTGGAGAAACAAATTTAGCCCAACTGAAAGAACAGTTTAGATAGATAATGACTGATTTGCTCAAACTGATTTTCTCTTCTGTGCCTTTTTCTATGTTTCGTTGCCCAGCCATTCTTGTTTTCTATTTTTAGTAGACACAGTGTCTTGCTCTTGTTCAGGCTGGTCTCGAACTCCTGACTTCAAGCCATCCTCCTGCCTCTACCTCCTAGAGTGCTAGGATTACAGGTATGAGCCACCGCGCCCAGCCCTGTCTTTGGTTTTAGTATCAGGGTTATTTTGGCCTCATAGAATGAGTTGGAAAGTAATCCCCAATCATCAAATTTCTAGAATAATTTATATACAATCACTCTTATTTCTTCCTTAAATATATATAATTCACCAGTGAGGCCAATGGTGCCTGGAGTTTTCTTTGTGGCAATATTTTTAACCACAAATTTAACTTCTTTATAGAGATACGGCTATCAAATTTTCTATTTCTTTTTGGGCAAGCTTTAGTAGTTTGTGCTAGGCTGATGCCACGGCACTCTATCCTGGGTAAACAGAGCAAGACTCTGAAGAAAACAAACAAACAAAAAGAAAAAGATCTAAAATAAAACTATAGACTAATATTCTTCATAAACATAGAAGTAAAAGTTCTAAACAATATTTTAACAAATGATTCCCATAATATTTCAAAATGATGATACATTAGGACCAAGTGAGGTTTACCTCTGGAATATAAGGTTGGTGTAATATTTGAAAATGAATCAACATAATTCAACATGTTACCAAACTAAAAAAGAAAAACCATGGGGTTGTCTTAATAGATGCAGAAAAAGCATTTGATGAAATACAACATCAATTCTTGACTTTAAAAACTCTGAACAAACTAGAAATAGAGGATAATGCCCTCGACTTAATAAAGGGTATCTTCAAAATACCTGCAGCTAACATTTTACTTAATGGTGAAAAACTGAACTCTTCTCCCCTAAGATCAGGAAATAGACAAGGATATCTACTGTCATCCCTTCTTTAACACTTTTAATTAAAGATTCCAGCCAGTGCAATAAACCAAGCAATAAGTAGCATGCAGATTGTAAAGGAAGAAGTGAAGCTATCTTTATTCACAATGTAATCATCTATATAGAAAATTTGATGGAATCTACAAAATAACTACTAGAAATATAAAGTGAAGTTAACAAGATTGCAGGATACAAGATTAATATAAAATACTCCCTTGTATATCTATATATTAGCAATGACCAATTAAATATTGAAATTTTGAAAAATGCCACGTAAAATTGCATAAAAATATGAACTACTTAGGGATAAATCTTAAAAAATAATGACATGCAAATGCTGAAAACTACAAAACATTGCTGAGAGAAATTAAAGACCTAAACATAAAGCAAAGTAGATAATTCTTCTTGAGTCAGATATTATTAAAATGTCAGTTCTCCTCAAATTCATCTATATATTCCATACAGTACAACCTCTATGGAAAACTGTCATGCAGTTGCCTTAAAAAGTTAAAAAATACATCTACCATGTGATCCAGTAATTCCTCTATGAGGTATTTGTCCAAGAGAAATTGAAAGCATATGTCTATTTGGACTTGTACATGAATGTACATGGAAATTTTATTCATAATAACCAAACCCTGGAAACAACCCAAGTATCTATCAACAGATGAATGGACAAGCAAACTTTGGTAGATCTATACAATGGAACTCTATTCAGTAATAAGAAGGAACGAATCGTTGACACATGCAATAACAGATGAATCTCAAAATAATTATGGTGTGTGGAAGAAAGAAGTGAACACACCATAAAATTTTATTTATATAAAATTCTATAAAATGCAAACTAGATTTTAAGTGAAAGGAATGAAATCAATAGTTGCCTGGGAATGGGTTTGGTGTAGGGGAGGCAGACGAGAAGGGGCAGGAGGGAGAGGTCACAAAGGGACATGATGAAACCTTTGGGGTGATGTGTAGATTCATTATCTTGATTGTGGTGATGATTTCAAGGCGCTATACACACACACACACATAAAATTTTACTTAAATATGTGAAGTTGAGAGGGCCGTTATGAGGGAAAAAGTAAAAAAGTTGCAAAGTGGCCAAAGAAGAAGAATATAATTTCAGAATTTAACTATAAACATTTTCTTTCATAAGATGTAAGATAGGACAGGATGTTTAGCGTAGAAGAGTAACCTTACACTTGGTAAGAGACTCTCAGATATGATTCTTGGACGTAAGCTATGAGGACTACCACCAGAAATCATCTGCATGATCACTGGGCCATGTCCTGGATATGATTAGTTACTACGCCAAATAATACAAAGCTCTTGCCTGGACTTTACAGTATAACAGATGAAATGCATCTCCCTCCTGTTATCATTTAACCACCTCACAGTCCTAGAATCTGGGGATGGTGCTTTTTCATTGACATTTTCAAAACCCACCCACAGTGCTCAATGAGTTAGTGAAAAAAAGAAAAGAAAAGGGCTCTGTATGTATGGATTGTTAAACTTTAAACTTCCTGGAATTCTATAAGGGATCTTTTCAGTAGCAAAAAATCCTGCAACAATGCATCCTATGTTAATGTGAATTTACAATTGGTGATTAGCTTCCTTTTCCCATTCAGTCCTGCTCCCACTTTGGTAGGGGAGGGGAAGGAAGCACAAAGGAGCTAAGCAAATGGGTGCCCATGGGTGCCACCTACAAAGGAGACCCACGCCATCGATATTTAAGGCAGAGCAGACAACCACCACCAGATGTGACCAGCCACTGTCAGGCGCAAGATAGAAATTAGGTCATGAAGCCTGAACCCCAGAATTTCCAGTCACTGGCCACTGAGGCTCACTTCAGTCCCTTGTTTACCTCATAATAATGCAACTGTGTGTTTTTATGTATTAAATTTCTTGGGCTTCATTTCTGCTATTATAAGTGGGTTGACTGTACTTCAGTACAAATTATATCATGTATATGTGAACCTAAATGCAGCTTAAACCTCATGTTGGAATTTTTCTCTTTTATTTTTAGCATTTCAAATATCTTTATTAGTAATCAACACTATAGAGTGGACTGCTTATACTTTTTATAGTTATCAAAATATGTACAAAGGCCTAATTCATTAGCATAAGATATGTTAAAAATAATATCCAGTGGTGGTTTACAGCAGAGAACTTTATGGACACCACTGCCCCTGGAGGCCAAGCCCCAAAGCCAAATACCTTTGATGTAGCTTTCAAAATCTAGAGAGTTCTTGTTCTTCTTGGAATCCCTTCTGCAGGGTCTGTCTCTGATCTGATTAAAAGCTGGCTTATCCCCTGTCAGATCATCATTGTATGTGCCTAAAGGTGACCTTTCATGCAGGGCACTCTTGGAGGGCTCTTCATGCCCACTGTCTAATAAAACAATGGTACTTTTGGCAGAATTTTGAGGTAAGCTTACACTGGCTGTAACTAATTGCAGTCAAGTTGTGGCAGAGAAGATGTGTCGTCTCCCATCCCCTCTGATCATGGTAGCTTATCATACCCATATTTCCTAAATGGACCTGATCGGTGTCACCTGGCCAAATTGTCATTGGTCACTTAGCAACACTTTGTTAACAAACGATATTAGAATTTTCAGTTCACTACCCTAAGTGCTAGTATAGATAGCTCTTGGGCCTTCTTCAAACATTTATTTCAGTTGCCATGCATCTTCTTAGGTTGCTGTGCTTGAAGCTTTTAGTAAGGATTGTTTAATTTGGGTCATATTATTCTGTCCTCTTTGAGCAATTTATTGTATCAGTTTAGGGACACTGAAGGCACCTAATCCTCCTCTAGTTGATTTATGAAGCCCTTAGATATTGTACACTTGTAAATGCTTCAGAAGTAATTAAGCAAACTGTGGCTTTGGCAGTTGGAGATAATCAATTCTCAAAAATGACAGAATGCCTGTAATGTACAGTCGATGATAGATGCTTGATTGGGTGGCCTAGGCAAGCAATCAGCCATCAGCTCTACTGCTCACTCCCCAAATCCCCCCACCAGGACTTAGAAATATATAAGCCTAACTGAGAACTCGGCTCATTCAGTCTCGTAAATTGGTCAGCACCTGTGGTTAGGTGAATTCACTAAGGACTTTTCATGCTTCACAGTAGAAGCAAGCACAGATCTTGCCTCAGTGGTTCGTGCATCCAATAAGTACGTAGTTAGTGCCTGCCAAGTGCCAGGCACTATTCTTTGAGAATGCAGCTGTGAACCATGGAGTCAAAAGTCCCTTTTGGGATTTGCATCCTAGTGGGGGTAAAAGATAATAAACAACATAAATAAGTACAATATTAGTTTGTACATATACGTAAAGAAGGAAAAAGAAAAAGCAGGAAAAAAGGATTGAAACCTCAAACAGGAGGTTTATATTTTTCACTGTGAAAATGCATTGTGAGCAAAGACCTTTGTGTTTGTAGGACTCGCCCGGTGAAGTGGGTGCTCACCTCCCGTGGAGACGGACTTTCCACCGGGGGTGCCCGCGAGTCCCCTGCCGGAACTTCCCTTTGTGCTCTAATCCCCGTCTGCACTGAAGGCACACTGGACCTGATTTGCCATATGTATCCTCTCAACGCTCGTGTCCTCGCAGGGGCCGAACTTTCTGGCTTGCTTTTTTCCCCCCACCTTGATCTGGAGCATCTGGCCGGGCCTACAATAGGAATCAACCCGCAGAGGAGAGGCAGGTCAACAAACAAATGAAACACATTTGTTTTAAATGACATCGTGTTCCTTCCAGAGAGGCGGGAGCATGCCTGGCTTTGCTCTGTTAAATGCTGGTGTCTGCAGGCGTGGGGAAGGCCACTGGCTCGTAAGGAAGCAGGAAAAGAGATGATGAAACCTCAGGAGTCGACACACGATTAGGCAACACATCGGTGGCTAATAGATAAAACGGTTACACACTTTTGAGATAAACTGTATAAATATTCATTTACCTTTGGGTTTCGCTAATAGCTACCCCACGAGGGAACTGATGTTGATAATTAATCGATAACGCAACACCCTTAAAAAGCATTTTCTTCATTAGGCTACATGTAAATGTAAGTTCTCGTGGTTTGTTGCCACGTATTAATTAGCTCCTATTCTGTTGTATTTTTATTTTTTTTTTTAGTCCCCTCACCAAACTGCTGAAAACTTACCTCTGGCATTCACTAATTAGAATTTAAGGTGATAACATGAGCATAGGTAAGAAAATCACTTGTGTCTGCCCATATTTAAATACAGTAGATATTATGTCAGGCACTAAATAAAGTTTTCTATAATGTAAATTTACTATCATCCTTGTTTTAAAATATTTAAACTAGTGTATTAGTTTCCTAGGGATACTATAGTAAAGTACTACAAACAGGGTGGCTTAAAACATGCAAAATTTATTATCTCACAGTTTGGGACACTAGAAGTCTGAAATCAAGTTGTCAGGAAAGCCATACTCTCTCTGGAGGATCTAGGGGAGGATCCTCCCTTGCTTTCTGCTAACTTCTGGTAGTTGCTGGAAACCCTTAGCATCCTGGGGCTTGTAGGTGCGTCCCTGTGATCTCTGCCTCCCTGCCACATGGCCTTCTCCCCGCCTGTTCTGTTTGTCTTCTCTTCTTATAAAGGCATCGGTGATATTGGATTAGGGCCCGTCCTAATCCAATAAAATTTTATCTTGTCTTGACTACATCTGCAAAGACTCTATTTCCAAATAAGGTCACATTCACAGGTTAGGGGGCATGGGGTAGGACTTTAACAAATCTATTCTAGGAATGCAGTTCAACCCATAACAACTAATATCTAAGTGACCCTATTGCAGGTTTCTAAATGGGTCAAATATTTTAAGACATTCATTCAAGATATTCGTAAAGATGATTCTTTACTTTGAAATCTTTGGAACTGTAATAAAATTCCTCTTTGCATCTTTGAACTATAGATTTCACTAATTGCCAGCAATAGCTTCAGGAGCTATAATTCTTCAGGCTGGTCATATTCCTTACATACACCTTGGACATTCTGGAAATTGGGTCACTGGCCTTTCCAGCTGGCAGTGTTAATCCTGTCTCTGTTCTGTCATTTTGGCTGCAAGGGTAGGTAGTTGGTGGTAGACATACAAAGTCCCTCCTTCATATCTGCCACTAATTATAATTCCCCAAAGCTGCCTGGCCGGTCAGAACCTTGGCTTTCCCCTCCATCACAGCCCAAAATATCTGCCCATGCCTACAGTCCTGGTTTGGTTTTTTATGTAGAAAATACAAAGTCATTTGCATCAGCCATCAACTTGAACCTGACACTGGCTCACAAACACTTTTTATATTACCAGCCTTCTTAAAAACCAGCATTAGGAGATGTAGATTTTTGTAGGACTGAGGAGAATTTCTGCAGAAGTCACCAAGGTTCTGGCCTGCCTTTCCTGTCTCCCTCCCTCGGGTCCACTTCCACACTCTGACTCTCCTTTCCAGCACCCAGCCTTCGGGCCCAAGGGAAAATATGCCAAATAAAGCCCAGGAAGTAAAATCTTTGAAGGGATGTCCCTTGTGTGAACTTGGGGCAGATATTCTTCCCTGGCTCTGTGACAGCAGCTGTTCCTCTGTGACACTGAACCGAGAGCAGCCCAACTGAGCATAGCGCCTTGCACGGAAATAGACACATTTCCTGGCTTTCTGATGGAGATGACAGCTCGGAAAGAGGGCGGTCCAGCATCTGGCCAGAAACATCTCGATAAGAATTCTCTGAGGGTGTGCTTTGCCCTCCTGAGTTTTTACCCTCCTTTATGTAAAAGTTGTGCAGAAAATTCCATTCAAACCTACCAGACATGACTGACAAATCAGATAAGAAATGAAATTTTTTGTTGGTTATTTAGTATAGCTTTTTAAAACATATATATATATATATATATGTATATGTATATACACATAGAGCAAGAGAGTTATTTTTCTAGTTGTCCAAATATTCTGGAAATCAAGTTGAGTGTTAGAGGCTTTTGTTGCTCTTCTCTTTTGAAAATGTGTTTCTAATGCCTGTCATATGTAGAGAAAAACTTATCACGCTACTTTGCTATGAGACTTCAATATCACCTGGAAATCCTATTCTTTGACAACGTCTAAGCTCTCTAGAATTTACCAGTTCTCTTGACTGAGGATAGTTCTCTTACTGATGTTTTATTTCTTCAGGTTTCTGAGAATGTGTGTCTTCTCCCAAGATGAAAGAACCTTTCGGGGATGAGAAGCTCCATCTGTAGGATGGGTTCTGGCATCCTCTGGAAATTTCACTGGCACCCTGGGAGCTGGGATGGTTTTTGAAAAGCTAGATTTGAGGGAAGACCAGTTGCTTCTTATTCAGAATTTATTTCCTGGTATAAAATAGTATAATAAATTTACCCTAAAATAAGTGTAGCATTTCTATGTCATTAAACAGAGCTCACATATGAAACTATGTTAATATTAAAGAGATTATTGTGGTAAGCAAAATTCATAACTCTCCTTTATTGTTACTTCCAGAAGTAGCCTCTTTGAGATCTTCAATGTAAAATTGTCTGATTTTGTATTTTTACATAAATGTGGTATATTCTCTAGACAGGAGCTTTTTTGTGATCAGTTTAGTCTGATTTTAAGGAAAACTATCAATATAGAAATTGCCCGTTGTATTGAATGTGTTTTGACTATTAATCTTAGCTTCCAAGAATATTTCCAAAAGTGCAATAAATGTAGGCTTAGAGATCTCAGCAAGGGGTATGGATGAGGGAGTGAGAGGTTATGGCAGGTTCCAACATATTTTTAAGTGATTTGCTTTTACAAATTGATCTTATTTATAAGGGTTTTGAGGAAGAAATCATACACTTAGCAAATCGTTGTCATGGGTAAAGGTTCGTAATTTAGAAGCAATATTTCTTAAAACACTAGGCACTAAATTCATAGACTGAGCATCTTCAATGTTTTGCTACTTTCTCTGAACTCGTGTTGGGGCTCAAAGGCCTAAGTTTATGTAAGCCCCCAGGAATATCTTTTCAAGTTGATTCATGTTGGCAAGAAAGGACTGGCAGCGGACAGGACTATCCCAAATGAAAACCCCTCTCTGCTGTATCATAACTGTGCCTTGATTTATAGGACTGATCACTCTTCACCAACTAAAAATCATAACAGAAGTTGCAAAACACCTGCATATCCATTTAAAAGGCACATGATGCTGCCTCGGGTTATGATGTAAAGCTGAAAGATTTTGTTACCTGCTCTAAAAACCACTGAAGCAAAACTTAAGTAGAAGGTTGTTTATCAGACAGTTGTAAAATGGAGTTAAGGATTAACCTGGGCAACATCCCTACAATGCTCTTCCCCCTTTTGTCTTTCTTTTATGATATTTTTTTTTCCACACAGACATTTATAGGTAACATATATGTCATTGTTCCAAATAGGACCCAAGGTTCTACCTTTCAGTGTGAACCTGTCACTGCCGCTGTTTTAGCTGCCAGCCCCACCCCCCAGCTGTTAGGTTCTGTCTGTCACCGAAGCCCTTGCATTTGTGGAGAAGTAGCCACTTTCTTGTTTCTTTTCAGTGTTCCACTTTGATTTCTTTCCCCTTTTAAAGGATATTACATAGAGGTCTGCCACCCAACAGCATAAATATCCTCTTTGCCTATGCATGTTGAGTAACTTGAATTCCCCTGCCCTAGGATATGTTCTGCTTGTCTTTCATGCTGGGGGACTTGGCTACAAATGTCAATTTCACTGTTTGAGAATTCTTAAAAGAAAGCGTCGATCTCTGAGTGTACTTGAAGTGGATGTAATTAGCTTTGACAAACCTTTCCCTATTTTCCTTTAAGAATATTCGGGAAATAAAGAAATGATTTGATCAATAAACAAATGCAGTTGGCAAACCTACCATCCTGCTTGCTGCATTTGTGAATGGTGTACCATACAGTAACACCCCAGAAAGGTGTTAGAGATGGAATGTCTTTTACCAGGAGTGTTTTGGGAAGGTCACAGAATACCATGTTAACTTCATAAACCCCAGGAAGGGAAGGAGCAAAACCAGACCTTTTATAAACCTGCTAAATCAGAGATCGGCAAAGGAATCTTGTGCCAGAGGAAAGCCTACAGTTACCTTTCTTTAATTAACTCATTTATTTTGGTATATGAATATAAGCCTACATACTACAGTTTTTCAGGTTATATAATTTTTATAAAACAAGCTCAAAGGGTCTTAGAGAGAAAGATGGCTATTTTATGAAACTTATTGCATCCCACATGTGTCTAGTTATAGTATTTGTCCTAATCATAAGGTTCTATGTGTTTGACCTCATTCCTTATAGCTGATAATGTATATAGTAAACTTCCAGATGAAAACATCTGAGACAAACAATTTTAAGATAGGTTTCTTTATTGCAAGAATTCCATCAGAGCCTTTACTATGCAAATATGTGTCAAAAATCTCCACTAGGGAAGTA